GTATTCAGCTACATGTTCTACTAACTTCTTTGGTTGCCTTATGCACCCATTAAACTGAGCTATGGTCATTTTCTCTTAACCTGTTTTTCCCCCTCCTCTATACATTTACTTATAATACCCCATCCACCTGGAATGCTAATTCTCGTAAACACAAGACTTGTATATTCTATCTACTCATTAAGAGACAGGTCAAATTCCACCCCCTCTAGGACAGCCTTCTCTCATTTCCCCTGCTGGAAAAGGTTTCTTTCTTCTCTGAATTTCCGTAACCCTTAATTCACTTACTGGTTTCTATCCCATGATAGGAATGAACATGTTTGACACCCCTACCAATCTGGAAGCATTTTGAGAAAAGAACCATGTTTTACACAACCTTATAAGACCCAAATAATTTAACAGCATCTAACACGTGGTTGGCATTTAATAAGTGATAAATGAATTTTTAAAAATCAAAGGAACACTTGTCAAAGAGCAAATTTAGCATTTAATTATAAAATTTCCCCATAAATTGTTAGAATATTAATAAATGATTATATTCTGAAATATGTAATTACAATAGTTATCTAATATGTGAAGTTACAAAATTGTTCCATGAATGAAGGTTGGATGGAAACTATTTTTCTCATACCAGTCTTTTAGCAATTAGACATGAATTTCCACACAGTTCTTAAGAAGCTCTTCAAATATTTTTCCAGCTTTAAAATTTTAAAATTTAATTTTCCATCTTTTGTTTTCTCTTTTTGGAACACTTTTAGCGTTAACAACTGGTTAAGAAATCCAAGGTAAACTAAAAGCTTTCATTTGTGATACTTTCAATATTTGTTTACTTTTCAATATATGCCAAGTTTTTACTTGACCAGGTTTGAAAAAATGTAATAAGACAAACTAGAGTGTAAAATGTCTTTTTACTTTCTACCAAGAAAATGCTCTCAAAACAAGTGAAGAGTGTGTGTCAACAAAGGACCTGTTTAACTTCTCTGAAACTGAAAGTAGGCTGTTTCAAAGCTCCATCTCATGATCCCTTTATTTTCAACTTCAAGTGTGCTATTTATAAAGTTTCTTAAAGATGGTATAAAAATAGAGATTTACCAAGAGCTATAGTTGGAGTCCTAAAGTTGCTTATGCTTTTTTTTTGAGATAGAGTCTCGCTCTGTCACCCAGGTTGGAGTGCAGTGGTGCAATCTTGGTTCACTGCAGCCTCCTGGGTTCACGCGATTCTCATGCCTCAGCCTCCTGAGTAGCCAGGATTACTCGCACTGGCCATCATGCCTGGCTAATTTTTGTATTTTTAGTAGAGACAGGGTTTTGCCATGTTGGCCAGGCTGGTCTTGAACTCCTGACCTCAGTGATCTGCCTACCTCAGTCTCCCAAAGTGTTGGGATTACAGGCGTGAGCCACTGCGCCCAGCCAACTTCTTAATTTTTCATTCTCAAACTTTCTTTCCAAATATTTACTATAGAATTTAACTACTGATAAATTGAAATTACTGTAGGTTAAGAAACATTTTATTTCTAAATTTTAGGATAACATATACCAAAGAGAATGAATAAGCATCTCTTTATAAAGATGCTATATTCATGTAACAGGATGTTAATTGGGACTTTCTCTGTTGCTCCAAGACTAAAAACAAGTATCCCACTTTCGAGGGAAAATGAAGGCTGGACGCAGTGGCTCACACCTGTAATCCCAGCACTTTGGAAGGCTGACGTGGGAGGATCATTTGAATCTAGAAGTTTGAGAACAGCATGGACAACACAGTGAGACTGTCTCAAAAAACTGAAGAACTAGCTGGGTGTGGTGACATGCGCCTGTAGTCCCAGCTACTCGGGAGGCTGAGACAGGAGGATCACTTGAGCCCAGGAGGTTGAGGCTGCAGTGAGCTATGATCACACCACTGCAACTTTAGCCTGGGCAAAAGAGTGACACTTTGTTTCAAAAAAAGAAAATGAAAAATACATTGGGTATAAATACCCCTTCACTGTTCATGAAGAGACAGCTACCCTGAAATAATTACTCCAGTCCACCACTACTCTTTACCCTTCACCTCATCACACAGTCCTTATAAGCTGAGGTGTATATGGATGGATTTGGGATGGGAAGGAATGAGGGGACAGAAAGAGACAAAGAATGAGTTTGCCAAAGTCATAAGGAGTACTATTCCCCAAGTCACCCCCAAGGGAAGTAAAGAGAATGTTTAAGAGAATCACTTGCAAAAACTGAAGGCACCTGCCAAGGAAACAGGAGCTATTTGAGCTGATGGAAAGAGAGCTGGAAAAAAATATCAAGAAGAGGGGGAGGGCCAGGCGTCGTAGTGTGTGCCTATAGCGCCAGCTACTCTGGAGGCTGAATTGGGGGGATTGCTTAAGCCCAGGAATTCAAGGCTGCAGTGAGCTATGATCAAGCCACTGCCTGGGCAACAGAACAAAAGCCCATCTCTTTAAAAAAAAAAAAAAAAAAAAAAAAAGGGTGAGCAAAGTAGGGGAGGATGGTGAAACACCTGTTTTCCCAAGATTTCTTAGGTCGAGGACATGAGTGTCCCGTGGGTCCAGTAGGCACCATTGGAAGTAGCTGGCCTTGAGCCTTCTTGCCAGTGTCTCACCAGAGCAAACATCGGAAACAGTGTGTACTTACCATTCCAGTGGGAGCTAAGGGGAGTCTGGAAGGGAGTAGGAGTGAATCTGCCATTTAAGAGAATGGAATCTGTATGACTGGGAAGACCTCCTCGGCCACAGGGCCCCCCCACAAGAACTCACATATGCACCTTACTAGACAGCTAGCATTTGGAAGGCTGCTACTACCCCAGGAGCAGCAACAATCAGAGAAACAGTAACAGCCAAAAACAAACAAACGAAGCCTACACTGAATGTTAAATAAGTAAAAATTGCCAAGCCTTCTTGGGTTACAATTAAAGGTAGTGCTATCTAAGTAACAGACACATGTCCCTTTCTAGTTCTCCTTACCTCTCCTCAACTCAAATTTCCGCTTCGTATAAGGACACCAGTCAGATAGGATTAAGACCTACCCTAAAGGTCTCATTTTAACTTAAAGTCCCTATCTCCAAATAGTCACATTATGAGGTAGTGGAAGTTGGGCTTCAATTCAATCAAGTATGAATTTTGGGGAAACACAATTCAGTTCATAACACCAGGCAAGGCGGAAAATAGCCATTTTATATAACCACAAGCCTGAGATCGTTTGTCATAATCACATAAAGTGGTTCTGAATGGTTAAGTGCAGGACAAGGAGTGACCTGGCAGGCTGAAGTGCTGCACAAAGGCCAGCATTTGCAGGGTTGGAGCAGTCTAGCCAAAAAGAGGAAGGGACTCTGAGGAAGATGAAGCCTTGGTTAAGATCCCTGACTCACAGCACCACAAGACGTTCAGCTTGAAAACAGGGAGTGCTTGCCTGACCAAAATTTAAATGTAAATGCACAGCCCTGTAATATAGGGCAAGAGAATAGGATGCTTCCTACAGTCAAACAGAACCCTGTTTCAATAATGAACAAAGAGACTGGGATATTCAAGCAATTCTACAGTTGTGAGACAAGTAAAAAATGTGTTAATGAGATAAGTATGTGTTAGCTGATAAAAGGTAAAATTCAGCTAAACTCTGAATGAAGAAGGAGGTAGAGACAGGGAGAGGAAGCATATGCAGAAAAGGTCAGTTTATTCTCTACTGACTGGCAGTTCCAGCTGACACAAGACGGCTTTGCAGCCACAGGTGGGTGGAGGAGAGCTGTTTCAGGGTAGGTTAGAGGAAGACCCTGGGTCAACTAGACTTCTGTGATTACCTTTAGATAGTGCCATAATTAAATACCCGATTCTCTGTTCCAACGCCTGCAATTATTTAAGTAAAAGTAGTTCAACTGCTCTGTCACTGCTTAGCCACATTTGAAGAAAAGTGGGCTGTTTCTTCCTACTGTACTACCTTCCCCAATTCCTTCTCTACATAGCATATTAATCATATCCACATAATTAGGAAATACCTGTAGATCTTTCAAAAAGGTATTCCCTAGCAGGTTTTACCTTCAGCTACAGTATGCCATAATAAAAATCTATTCCCTTTGGCCCAGGCACAGTGACTCGAGCCTGTAATCGCAGTACTTTGGGAGGCCGAGGCAGGTGGATCACCTAAGGTCAAGAGTTTGAGACCAGCCTGGCCAACATAGTGAAACCCTGTCTTTACTAAAAATACAAAAATTAGCCAGGCATGGTGGCACACACCTGTAATCCCAGCTACCCGAGAGGCTGAGGCAGGAGAACTGCTTGAACCTGGGCAACATAGCAAGACTCCATCTCCGAAAAAAAAAAAAAAAAACACTGTTGGCTTCACACTTTTACAGAAAATCTTAAAGATCTATTAAAGACCTATATTTAACACATATCAGATATATTGTCAAATACTAATAAGACATGGCTGTTTTTCCTTTAAAATTTACTTTTTTATAAGCCTGATTTTGACCATTAATTTTTTTTTTTAAATAACTTCCTTGAGAGCCAGTTACAGTCACTAAAATTTTGACCATGTCTGATATGACACTTATCTAGAATGTATCTGTTGGACCTCTTCTTATTAGGACAAAACAACACCATATAGTTTACTCTTTTAAAGTAAGTTCCTTTATAGAACCCCATTCATCCCTACCTTTCCCTCATCAATCTGAACAGAATTGTAACGTACACTGTGACCTGCAAGCAAAGATGAGGGACCTGGGTTACTAGGAGAAAATTATTTAACATTTGAGGAGATCAAAGTTAAAACACAATAGATGTTCCAGGACACATAAAAAAATTACACTCAGATTTCTGAGAAAGTTATGACAAAGAATTTATAAACCATTTCTTCATGTTCTAAAGGAAGGGTAACATCCCTCCATGACAAGCAGGGTTACGGGCAAGGTGTGCCCAATTTATCCAAGGTCTTCATCTGCTTAATTATAACCAAAAGAAAGGATCTAAAAACATCCCTAACACACAGAACTTAACTCATCAAGAACACACTCAACATCACCAAATAATTTATTTGGACTCAGAATTAAAAGAACATTTGACAGTTATGAAATGCATATTTATTCTGAAACATCTAACTAGTTGTACAGCTAACCCATGACAAATTACCAGATTAATTTTACTTTATTTCTTCAGGCCTGGGGTTTTTCGATGACTTCAAATTTGGGATCTAAGAAGAAGGGAAAAAAAGGGTAAATCTTAGCTATACTGCAAGAAAACGGATTATGTAAAATGCTCAAGATTTAACTCATCAAACTTCTGATTTTTTTAGTAAACATCTACTGTTTGTAAACATTTACACAGAAATATAGCTGAACATTTATGCAACACTTTCTATGAGCCACGCATTCCATTAATTGACTTTGCATATATTATGTCATTTAACTACGTACGCGGAAGATACTATAATTCTCCCCAACTGTCAGATGAGGAAACATGCACCAGTTAATTACTCAAGATTACCCAGCTGAAAGTGATTGTCAGGATTCAGGATCAGGCAGTTCAATTTCAGATCCCCACCATTTAATCGCTATGTTATGTGATTTCCTATACTGCTCTTATTCTAATGGCAAACATTTAGCCGGCAGCTTCTCAGGCACACATCATGGTCCTAATAAATTCACATGTTAACACTGTCATTCGATTCTCTAAAAATCCAAGTAAGGGTAAATATTCTTCACTTATCCCCCACAAGAATGAGTCTGTGATTTACAAGATGTACCTTCAAATTTGAAGGTGGGAAATGTATTCATGTCTGCGTTACCAAACATTTGCTTGAGCTTAAAAAGCTCCTTCTCCAGCTCTTGCTGATACTCTGGACCAGTATCAACAGGTCCTCCAGATGTCCTGTTAAGTAAATGAGCAAACAAAAATTAATTTTATGTACTAGTTTACTAAAACAAAATTACTCTTCACCATATTTCAATAGATCTTTTTTTTTTTTTTTTCTTTTTTAAGACGGAGTCTCACTCTGTCACTAGGCTGGAGTGCAGTGGCATGATCTTGGCTCTCTGCAAACTCCGACTCCCTGGTTCAAGTGATTCTCCTGCCTCAGCCTCCTGAGTAGCGGGGATTACAGGCACATGCCACCACACCCAGCTAATTTTTGTATTTTTAGTAGACAGGGGGTTTCACCATGTTGACCAGGATGGTCTTGATCTCTTGACCTTGTGATTCGCCCACCTCGGCCTCCCAAAGTGCTGGGATTACAGGCGTGAGGCACCACACCTGGCCAATAGACCTTTTGAAAGCATCCATGTAGTCGAAGAAAAAACTCCAGAAAGAAAAGAAGTATTTCCACTTCAATTTCAATTCAAACTATTTTATTATGATGAGGTTTCACGTAAATGAGGTAACCTCAAACAAATCTCTAACATTCAAGGTTTCTTAGTATCACAGACACGAAGTCAGAATTTCTCAGGGTCTAAGTTTCAATACGGTGTATCGTTAAGTCTACGGGCTCTGGAGTCAAAGACCGGCTCCATTTGAGTGTAAGTTCAACTGTGCAGCAACTGTGTAAACCTGAGCAAGGCACAGAGCCTCTATATTTTAGTTTCCACATCTAAATATGAAGTTCCTACCAAGCAAGGGTGTAAATGCACACATACCTCTAAGCACAGTGCCTGGCACACAGTGAGTACTCAATTATTATCTACTATTATCATTTGCTTTAAGTCAGCCATCACTAAATGGCTTTTAAAGAACTTAGTAACTTTTAAGTTTCTACAATAGGGGTCCTATTAAAGAAGCAAATTATTTCCTACCCTCAGAGATTTTGCAATTTAGAAGAAAAAAATTACATGTTTATAAATATTTATGCTGTAAAGGAGTGATGTGGTGAGCTTCAAAGTCATAGTTTAACAAAAACGCTATTCAAGTTGAGGAAGAGATCACTTTTGCTAAGCTAATCAGGGAAAATTTTATTTTAAAAAGGTGGCATTTGAGAAACATCAGGCATTTGGGGCCAGGGTTTATTTTGAGACCTTCTAAGATGGAAAAAGCAAAGACATAGAGGTGGTAAAGGATTGGCTATATGTGGGGAATGCTAAGGAGTCTAGATGGAAAAATCAGCAAACCCCAGATCTTGGGAGGCCTGGAATGTTAGGCCTGGGAGTTTGTATTTTATTTTATTTGCTAAGCAATAAAATGACAAAATTAGATGTGTGCGGTTTGGGAAAATAAATATAGCATCATGGACCAGCAGCAGGGCCAATTAGGTCTAATTAATTATTTGAAGAAATTCTTCTGTTTTTGTCATAAATATCACTGCCTACCTAGCAATGAACAATATTCTAAATGTAAAAAAAATGTACACGTGAAAATTCCTTCAAGGGTAATAATATTTTTACACATGCCTATGCTCAAAGTATAGAATCTTATTTAAGTTAAAGAACGTGCACAAAAAAATACATAGGTGGCTCCAATTTAAGAACTTGTTAACAATGTTTCTTGTTAGAGATCCAATTTTCTTTCAGATTAGCACTGTCCAATAGAACGTTTTGTGATGTTAGAAATATTCTCTGTCTGTGCTGTCCAATATGGTAGCCACTAGCCATATCTGGCTATTGAGCGCTAGAAATAGAGCTAACATGAATGAGAAAATGAGAAACTGAACTTATATATACATTTAATTGTAATTAGAATTTGAATAGTCTCATGGATAATGGCAACCAAAATGGACAGTGTGGTTCTAAATAGATCCTTCAACTAGATACTCTAATACTGGTTACTGATGGATGATGGCTATTTTAACTTTAATATGCACTCTTGTGATAAAAAGAGGCCAGAAATCATCTACCTCCTCAACTGAATGTAAGTCTTGCTGCTTAGCTTGTTTATTACTATATCCCTAGGCTCTCACATGGTGACTGGGACAAAGCAGTTACTCAGAAGACACTTGTTCATTTCACTAGCAAATACTAGGCACGCTAATGTACCGAATCATTTAATTTTTATAACATCCTATGAAATGGGTAAGTACTATCATCATCCCCATTTTAGTAAGAGAAAACTGTCCTACAGAAGGTAAACCTGCCCGAGGTCATAGAGCTCATTAGTGGCAGTGCTGGATGCCAGCCCAGGGTCTATCCTCAGAACTCTCCATGTGTGTTTGCACAAACGAATCAATGACCCACAAACAAGACTCCTTAGATTTTGGGTACACCTAAGAATTCACTTCTTACTAGATAGGCTTTTAAGGACAGTTGAAATGACGCGAACAGCATCAATACTGTGACATAACACCACATTTGGACAGAAGACACTCAAAAATTCCCTGACGAGTCCTGTACATCTGGTCACTTCATAGTATGATTTTTGGCAAATTCTAACTGTCAGCCTTGGTTTTCTCATATATAAAATTGGGGTAACATCTATAGGGTTGTCAAAGCACATAGTAACTTACTACATTTTTAATCCCTTCACTATTTCTCCTCAGTTTTGGCAACAGTAACACCCTTCTTTGTTAGTTACCTCGCCTCAAAAGTCAGTTTTCTTTTATTGTTCCCTCTCCTCTTCCTCTCCAGCAGCTCACCAAAACCAGTCATCAGTGTTTCAATGTCTTGACTCTGTCACTTTTACATTACCACTGCTATAAAGTCAAGGTTCTCATCAACTCATGTTTAGGTTACATTTTGCTAACATGTCTATCTTTGCTCTCTTCCCATTTCAAACCTTCCAATACCCTGGTTAAAGTTATCCTCCTAATTCAGAGTAATCTTCCATCCCCACAGTCATGTTCAAAAAGCTTTAATTTCTCATGAATGCCTACCACATATCTTACTTGCTCAGTCTATAATCAAGGCCTTCCATAATCCCTCATTCTAACCCTATACCATCCTTATATTCTTCATATACCCTATACTTCAGGGAAACAGAATTATACCATTCACCAAATGTATTTTGTGCTTTCTAGTTTTCATACCTTAGTTCACACCATTCTTTCCTCCTAAAAGATACTCTCCTCCTACCCTCATTTATCTGTCCAACCTTCATACACTGATCTTTAGAAACTAGCGTAAACCCCCGGGTTTAGTGTCTACTGAAGGCCTCCTGTGGGTTTGGGAACCATTTCACGCTATAAGCAAAATCATGTAAGTAAATTCCTCATGTTTGTTTCTTTAAACTGGGAAGATGATCCACAGTTGTCCATGAGATTCTCAAGAGGGATGAATATCCAAACAATGCCTTCCAAAAAGCCTCTAAAATGCCTCTAGCTGGAAAGGAGTATTCTTTCCTATGAACTCCCCAAGCACTCAACATTTCCCTATCTTAGCACCTAACTCATTTTACCTTATATTGTATTTATTTGCTTACTAGCTTTCTACTCCTGTCAGACTTTAAGAATATTGTAAAAATGCCCTGTGGCCCATCACAGTTAACAGCCAAGTGCTTTACACACAGTAGACAACTATATGAAAGAAAATGGAACTATGAATTGATGCACATCACTCTTCCTAAGATTTGGGCTTTGGACCTGATGACGGCTAAGGTGGTCATTCATTTCCAAAACTAGGGTTCTACAATTGTTTTTCTTGGACTTACATTATGTCATTTCAGAGTCTTTTGTCCTTTAATGTATATTCTTAGAGATCTATAACTATGGAAACAGCGTTTTAAAAAAAAGAGCTGTGCTTATCCATTTCTCCCAAATTACGAGGTCACAGAAAGGCCACTAAATTGAGGGCTAAAATATACTTTGATAATACATTTTTCCCCAATTAGTTTTATGATCTTAGGCTAATCAATGTCTAAGGGAGTTACTTCTTTCAAACTTAGCTGCTAAATGATTTCCAAGACCCTCTGTATTTCTATGAATCCATGTGGTTTATAATATATGACATTACAGTAAGGATATATTTTAAATGGCAATGGATTTAATAGGATTTTCCCTTATAACTAGTACGAAGAAGATACAGTTTATGACTTAAGAAAATCAAGATCCTTACCTTCTCTTTTGAGAGCACCTAATGAACCTCTGTGTCAGAGATGAGCTCAGTGAAGGTCTGACACTTTCAAATACCACGTCATTTTTTATTACCACCTTGGAGCTTACATACTTTGAATATTTATATTTACACTGTAGTTATTTATTCACTTACTGTCGCTTAGATTTGTATTCTCTAATCTTGTCCACAAAGAGTTTCTGTACAGGATCAAGTTCCTTATTAAATGCCACTGCTGTAACACCAACGTTCCTCCGCGAATGGACTGAGACTGCTGACCGAATGACAGAGGAGAACCTGAAGAGCCTCTGAAGAATCATGCTGATTCTGTTACTGAAAACAAGCATCAGAAATGTTAATATACTTATTAGAAATCACCTCAAAATATATCATGAGATTCAAATTCTACTAATTGCTACCGAATTACATCATATCAGATCTCAGTCTATACCTGACCACAGTTCCCTTCTCCTCCTCATTCCCCATTGCAAGATTTTTAGCTCTTAACCAAAAGTCCCTGGAATATAGGAATAGTTAGAAACTCAGGCCTGAAGCTTCATCAGGGTTAGAGCACAAAATATGAGGTGAGGTATTTCTTCTCCCTTGAACTTAGTCTTGGATCAGAGAAAACAGTAGAGGTAGACTGTTGCAACACTGTCCACTCCTAACAGAAAAAGCACAATGGTCCCCAAACCGATGTACAAGGTTATCCCAGGCATGATAACCTGAAAGTGTGGACTTCTCAGGCCCACAGAGGGAGAAACTGCTCTGTCCGTTACAACAGGAGTCCAGCCGTTTAAGAATACTGTAACAAGTAAATCAAAGTCCAGAAGAACCAGCAAAGAAAAACAGCAGCCAGACCAAATGAGCTGTGCATGACACAGGGGAGGGTCTGGCAGTCCAATTTTATCAGTGAAATAAATTGGTGAAGGAGATGGAAGCCTGAACTTTATAAATAAGGACTTATGGCCAGGTGCTGTGGCTCATGCCTATAATCCCAGCACTTTGGGAGGCCAAGGTGGGCAGATCACCTGAGGTCGGGAGTTCGAGACCAGTCTGACCAACATAGAGAAACCTCGTCTCTACTAAAAATACAAAAATTAGCTGGGCGTGGTGGGGCACGCCTGTAATCCCAGCTACTCGGGAGGCTGAGGCAGGAGAATCGCTCGAACCCGGGAAGCAGAGGTTACAGTGGGCCGAGATCATGCCATTACACTCCAGCCTGGGCAACGAGAGCAAAACTCTGTATCAAAACAAAAACAAAAACAAAAACAAAATAAAAAATAAGGACTTAAAGACTTTCGAATCCCGAGACTTCCTTAAGCTAAAATATATTATTTTTCTAACTAAAACATTTCAGTAGAGGACAATCCCTGTTGAGATTTACTTTAGCAATTTAAAGATCAAATGCAAAAAATATTCCAAATTACAACCAATAGGTGCAAACAGGAATTCTAGAAGAAAAGGAATAAAGAGGGCCAAGCGTGGTGGCTTGTGTGTGTAATCCCAGCACTTTGGGAGGCCAAGGCAGGCGGATCACTTGAGGTCAGAGGTTTGAGACCAGCCTGCCCAACATGGTGAAACCCCCGTCTCCACTAAAAACACAAAAATAAGTCGGGCGTGCTAGCGCATGCCCATAATCCCAGCTACCTGGGAGGCTCAGGCAGGAGAATCGCTTGAACTCAGGAGGTGGAGGTTGCAGGGAGCCCAGATCACACCACTACACTCCAGCCTGGATGACAGAGCAAGACTCCATTTCAAAAGGTTAAAAAAAAAAAAGGAGTAAGAGACCATAAATAATTAGAATAATACATTTTTCTCAGATCAAGGCCGACTCTATAAATTGACAGGGCTTGCCAAACCCCATATTGGAATGGTGACAAAACGCTCACAATGCACCACAGCCTGGTAAAATTTCTGAATCTTTTTTTTTCTTTGAGACAGGGTCTCACTCTGTTGCCCAGGCTGAACACAGCTCATTACAGCCTCGACCTCCTGGACTCATGCAATCCTTCCACCTTAGCCTCCCAAGCAGATGGGAGCACACTTGTGTGCCATCACACCAGGCTAATGTTTACTTTTATTTTTTTGTAGAGACGAGGTCTTGCCATATTGCCCTAGCTGGTAAAATTTCTGAATCTTCAAGTGAAAACCTGATATGCTAACATGCTTCCATGCCCTCCCCAAATTTCCTAATGACAATACCAGTCATCATCACGTTGACACTGGACTTCTACTAAGTCATAACAGGACTAGTGGACGTATACAAACTATGTTATTGGTCTAAAGTAATACAGAAATTAGATATAAGTATTTAGAGGTCAGGCGAGGTGGCTCATGCCTGTAATCCCAGCACTTTGGGAGGCTGAGATGGGAGAATCACTTGAGGCCAGGAGTTCAAAACCAGCCTTGCCAACATGGTGAAACCCTGTCTCTACCAAAAAAAAAAAAAATTAGCCAGGCATGGGCACACCTATCATCCTAGCTACTCGTGGTGAGGCTGAGGCAGGAGAATCACTTGAACCCGGGAGGTAGAGGTTGCAGTGAGCCAGGATCACACCACTGCACTCCAGCCTGGCCTACAGAGCAAGAGCCTGTCTCAAAACAAACAAAGAAATTACAAATAAGCATTTAGAAACTTATAAGGACTCAAGAGGTAATTTGTTTGCTGAATTTAAAAATAAAAAAATTAGAGCTTATGAACTGGGTGTGGTGGCTTATGCCTGTAATCCCAGAACTTTGGGAGGCTGAGGAGGGAGGATTGCTTGAACTTAGGAGTTCAACACCAGACTGGGAAACATGGAGAGAACCTGTCTCTAAAAAATTAGACGTTGTATTTTAAGTGACTTCATTGTTTTGTTTTTTAAATTTCATTTCTTTTGTAATTCATTTTCACTGTATTCAAAAGTGTCCACAAGAGCAGGTGTGAGAATGGCCCTTTACCACTGAGAGTTTGAGAAGCACTAGCTAGAAAACTGTAGAGTAGCACAATAGTTCTCAAAATGTGGTTGGGGGTGGGGGAAGAGGTGAGATTTTCCCTCCATGGAGACATCTGGCAATGTCTTTAGACATTTTTGGTTGTTCTCACCAAGCTGAGTGCTACTGGCCTATAATGAGTACAAAGCCAGGAATGCTGCCAAACACTCTATAACGACAGTAACAGCCCTCTCACCCACAAGAATTATCTGGTCAAAATGTCAGTAATGCCAGGGTTGACAAACTCTGGAATGGCATGTAAAAATTATCAAAAGAAATCCTACAATGAGCCAGGTGCAGTGGCTGATGCCTGTAATCCCAGCACTTTGGGAGGCCAAGGCAGGAGGATCACTTGAGCCCAGAAATTCAAGACTAGCCTAGGCAACATAGTGTGACCTCATCTCTAAAAAAAAAAAAAAAAACCAGCCAGGTGTGGTGGTGGGTGCCTGTAGTCCCAGGTACTTGGAAGACTGAGGCAGGAGGATCACTTGAGCTTGGTAGGTAGAGGCTGCAGTGTGCTGTGATTGTACCACTGCATTCCAGCCTAGGTTACAGAGTGAAACCCTGTCGAAGAAGAAGAAAGAAGAAAGAAGAAAGAAGAAGAAGAAGAAAGAAGAAAGAAGAAAGAAGAAAGAAGAAGCCAGGAATGCTGCCAAACACCTCTATAACGACAGTAACAGCCCTCTCACCCACAAGAATTATCTGGTCAAAATGTCAGTAATGCCAGGGTTGGGATAAAACTTGAATGGTATGTAAAAATTATCAAAAGAAATCCTACAATGAGCCAGGTGCAGTGGCTCATGCCTGTAATCCCAGCACTTTGGGAGGCCAAGGCAGGAGGATCACTTGAGCCTCCAGAAATTCAAGACTAGCCTAGGCAATACAGTGTGACCTCACCAAAAAAAAAACCAGCCAGGTGTGTGTGGGTGCCTGTAGTCCCAGGTACTGGAAGACTTGAGGTGATGATCACTCGAGCTGGTAGAGGCTGCAGCGGAAGGACAATAATATCCAGTCTAGGCTACAGGCAGATGAAACCCTGGCTTCAAGAAGAAGAAAGAAGAAAGAAGAAAGAAGAAGAAGAAGAAAGAAGAAAGAAGGCAGAAAGAAGAAGAAGAAGAAGAAGAAGAAGGAGGAGGAGGAGAGAGGAGTAGGAGGAGGAGGAGGAGGAGGAGGGAGGGGAGGGGGAAGGGGGAGGGGGAGGGGAAGGGGGAGGGGAGGGAGAGGGACAGGGAGGAAAGGGAAGGGAAGAAAAAGGAAGGAAATCCAACAATCAGGCCGGGCACGATGGCTCACGCCTGTAATCCCAGCACTTTGCTGTAATCCCAGCATTTTGGGAGGCCAAGGTGGGTGGATCACCTGAGGTAGGGAGTTCGAGATCAGCCTGACCAACATGGAGAAACTCTACTAAAAATACAAAATTACTAAATTTTCTCTACTAAATTACTAAATTTTCTCTACTAAAAATACAAAATTAGCTGGGAGTGGTGGCACATGCCTGTAATCCCAGCTACTGGGGAGGCTGAGGCAGGAGAATTGCTTGAACCCAGGAGGCAGAGGTTGCGGTGAGCCAAGATCGTGCCATTGCACTCCAGCCTGGGCAACAGCAGCGAAACTCTGTCTCAAAAAAAAAAAAAAAAAAAAAAAAATCCTACAATCAATACAATCAAAATATGCTTCACCTGACAGAATGAAAGCAAAGTATTTGAAGAAATTAAAGAATTCATAACATATCACTTTTATACCCCATTAGGGAAAAACACTTGAGAAAAGGCTACAAGCAAACAACAAATGACCTTTCATAAGGTCATGTGCCACTTATTAGCATTCCTATGTTTAAACATACAGAAACTGAGGATTAGAATTATCTGGTCAAAGTTACACAGCAAAATCTAACTTAACACAAATATGTAAAAAAAAAAAAAAAAATTGTGCAACTCAATGCCTACTTTCCCTTCTAGCAAACTAAGGACATGCTTAACATTCAGCAATCAGTTCACCCAACATTTGCTGGGCCCTATATACTGTGTAAAGTACTTCCATATATATCCTCTCCTTGTACCCTTACAGCAATACTCTTAAAAGAGTTAGAAGAAAGTGTTCTTATCCCTGCTTTACATATGATAAAACTATATCTAAGAAAGGTGAAGCTGCACACAGTCACACAGTTAATTTGCTCTAAGTCTGACTGCATAGATGTTATTCCTGCTACAACATGGGTAAACTTCACTTTCATTGTTTCAATTATCTAAGTGCCTATGATTCCCTAATCGCATTTCTAATTTTAGTATTCATCCTGAACCCCAAATCGATACACAGTATTCAACAGTTCTCGTCTCCCTTATAAGTTCTACGAACTCATCCAAAGAACGAACACATAATCTCATATCAAAACTTGTTCCTTCTCCTTTAATCCTTTTCATTTTTTTCACTGATCAGTGAATGCGTATTGTCCACTGACACGCAGAAGATAGTCATTACACAAATAGCTGTGAAATACCACCTGCCATAAATTCTCCATTCCAGTACCATCGGGTGCCACAAGAGAATATGATAGCGTCTGACATGATCAGAAAGACTGGGGAAGGCCACAGTAAGAAAACACTAGTCTGAGCAGAGGCCTCGTCGTGGGCCCCCGGGGGCATGGTTCTCCTATTTATAGTGATGACTGACCGGCCAAAGGTTGGTAGGTTCGCTGCCTCGTCAGTGCATATTCCTAAGAACAATCCATAAAGTCGCCTAACGAAGTGTTAGCACCATCATCGTTTTTAGGTTGGATGCAAACTTTCAAGATTGTAACTATTCTTTTCCCTCTTATGGTGCCCGTTCTGCCTAAGTAGCTTAGACGGTCCCGTGCGCCCGGGGCGGCTAGGCCTGACCTTGGGTTGCCCCAGCCAGGATGCGGGCCCGAGACCCCCAGGCCTCCCTGCCCCCCGCGCCGCCCCATTAGCCCTCAGAGAGGGTATCGATCTTATTTCTGGGTCTAGGCAAACTCCCAGGTGTAGAAACGTAGAGGTCAGCTGTGACCCCGGGCCAGGCCGTGAAGGTATCCAGGACACAGAGCTGCTCTCTCCTCCTAGTAGAGTAAAGGTGAGAGGCAGCCCAGGCCTCGTGAAGAAACCCAGAACTGGAGTCCCAAGAGGCCACGCTGATCTAGCTACCCTCCCAGTCACCTTGCACTCAGTCCCGAGCTGCCAAAGCCTCCGCCGCCACCGCCACCGCTCTACTTCCGGCCCTGGCTCCGCCCCCACACGCCCACCCGCCATCGCAATGCATTATGGGCCGCCGTTTCAGTCGGTCGACGCTCACCGGACAGGAAGCGTCTCGGAGACAGTCTGCGACCGGACGGGTCTAGGTGAGACAGAAGCCAAACAGGAGGAGGAAGTGGAGGGTAAGTGCTTCCGGGTCCCCTGGCAAAGCCTCCGCCATCTTTTCTTCCCCTAATTTGACCCGTTCTTTTTCCCCCTCCTTGAAACCTTGCTCTGTACGCATGCGCCCTTTGACTGGTCTTTCCCCTAGTTCAAGCTCCCCTCCGAGTCAGCGTCCTGTTCGTTAGGGTTATCGAGGTGTATAATGGTGCAGAGAAAGTGAGACTGTAAAACAAAGCGGATTGGGGCGTTGTGCTTCCTTGTGCCTCGTGAGCCTCCGTTGCCTTGGGCGTTCGTTTTGCGCACCCTGCTGGGAGTTGTAGTCCTGGACCCGGAGGTGCCTGGGAGGCGGGAGGGGGGTTGGGGCTTCTCAGCGCCGATTCCGCGGGAAGGGCCCTGGGGCCTCACACTTCTAGTCGCGGGAGCTGCAGGTCTTACCCGGAGAGACGCTGCACGTGGAGCCCGCGCCGCTGCCGTTCTCAGCCGGCTCTGGAGTGCGGGCGGGGGCAACAGGGCCGATTCCGGAGTGGGTGAGTGCGGCCGCCGGGGAGGAGGGGAACGCGGGCCCGCGCGGGCCGGCGTCGTTCCGGGGCCTTTTCCCCCACAGCGGCCCCCCCGCGGCCGCCTCTGTGTTTTGTTTCCGCTGGTCCCCGGCGCTGTGACTCCCATTTCCGTTCGTGGAGACTTGAGGGAGTCGGGGGGGGGGGGGCGGGAGGGGCTGTGCGGGGAGCGAAGGGGAGGGGCGGGGGGCGAGCGGCCTGGAGCCTGGGGGGACCTGGCGCCGCCGGGGCCCGCGCCGGACGGGTCGCCTGTCGCCGCTCCCTCCCTTCCGCGTCCGCTCCTCGCCGGTCCACACTCCGCCTCAGTCTCAGCCTGCTCAGCTGGGATGTGGTCCTGATGCCCCCAGATTTTAAGAGCAAAAGGCAGACCCTGTCTCATCGCGGGACTCAGCGATTCAGTCACTTCAAATCCAGTGTCTTTATAGAACAACACAGTTACACGAAAATCATTTATTAGCGTATATGGTAGTCATCTGGGTTTGGCTTTTTTTGTGTTTGTTTTTAAGCGAGGAATTAAACCAAGGAGATAACAATGGGTTGTCTACTTTTAAAGTTTTTTTGTGTGCTGGAAGACACGCTGTGTGTGCATGTTTGGATTTAGGGACCCCAGTTTGATCAGGTTAGCGACCGAGAGGTCAGTGCCTAATATTGCACTGCAAGATGATTAGAAATCTAGACATAAAGTTTGCTTCATAAGTAGTTTCCACTAATAGCAGTAGGGCTGACTCGTGAGAGGAGCAAAGATTTAGCAGGATTCACTTGAGCGAATTGTAGAACAAGGCGGTGATAACGTTCTCAGGTAGTGTTATCTTGAACTTCAGAAGAAACCGCTCAACTCTTCAGCAATTGCTTGAGGGACCAGCCTGTCTCTCAGGGTTCCCTCCAGGCTTTGCAACCTGCTTTATTTTTAGACAGACAGTGACGCTGGGTGGTCTTAAGTCAGTTTTACCTGAATTGTGTATACAAGAGCATCTGTCATGAGGCATGTATGGTAATGAAGTAATTAAATCATGAGCTAGATGTTAGGTTGAAGTAAGTCATCAGACCGAGTAGTAAGTTAAAACTGTTGACTTTAGCCTTCCCTCAACTCTTTATATATAAAACTCCAAACCTATGGAAAAATTGGGGAAAAAAATCATACAGTGAACACCCATATATCCTTCACCTGGGGGTCCCAACTGTTAATCTTTCACTGTATGTGCTTTCTGTCTTTATATTACATAGATGTGCATGCTTTGCTTTTTCTTAACTGCTACCGTTATTTTTGAAATAAAAATGTCTTTTAATTTCCTCAGACACTGAAAAGCATTTATTTAATAACTTAAGAAAATGTGCAGTAAATCTCGCAGGTACTCCTACACTCCACTTATATTTATAATATATTGGGAAAAAATGTTCTAGGTTCTGTAATTAATAACGCACTCCAATGAAGGACAATTCTCAAATTTATCTGTAGTTTCAAAAGGGAATGTTACATCTATCTGTATTTTAAAAGACACTAGCTGTTCCCAGAATTTTTCGTTAAATTCAAGTTTAGTTTGTATCCCATCTTGTGAAACATTCCGAACCCTAGGTTGGATTTAATCCAGCAGAACCAGAGTGTCAGTGAAAGTATACGAAATTGTTCTGTGCAGTTCTGGCAGGGGCAGCCCTTAGATGGAGAAATTGCTAGTAATTTTCTCTCAGTTTTCCTAAGTGTTGACGTAGAAGCCTGGGGAATTGGTTTCAGAAAAAGAGATAAGACTCACTCAAAAACTGATATGTAAGATTTGAACTATTTCTCAAATCTCTGTTTTGCTTCTCTAGACTAAGCATAGATAGAGAACCTGGAGAGAAAGAAAGATCATTTAAGAGACTGAGTAATATTTTTTGAAAGATCATTTAAGAAACTGAGTTATATATATATACATATATATAGATATATGTATTTTTTTTTTTCTCCTCCAAAAGGGCATGAGTTTTTGTTTGTTTTTTACTCTGGCACTTTCGAGGGATTGGTCTATAAATTTTTTGAAAGATCATAGGATAAATTTCTTTGTAGCAACTTCCTATTTTATTGTTTATATTAGGGGAGCCCCAGGTGTCCCTGTTGACAAGTCATTAGGGCCGCTTCTCAGCCTCTGGCTACATCATATGCTTTTTTTTCTATTTTGCCAAAGTTTCCAGAAAATTATGTTTTCTAATCATTAAAAAATTGGTTGTGGAGATGGGAGTGGACCTCTTTATAAGCCCTGAAAATAAGTGATTTTTTAAAGTGCTATTCTGCTGCAAACCTGATTCTCACTGTTTTCTGTAAACAACAGTTTTTTATAATTTATTTATTTTGTGTGGACGTTATTTCCTTTTAATCAGTACTAAAATTCCATAGTGTATGCTTTCTCCGTGTTTTCTTTGATTAATACTTTCTTAACATAGACACTTGTATTGGCACCAGCTGTCACCAGCAAAGCTGCCCTGAACATTATCAGTCAATCCTTAATCCTTAACCAATTGGAGAATTTTTCTGGAATGCTTAGTTAGGGATGAAATTGCTGGGTTGCAGGTGTAAGTATGCTTGATATACTTTTCTGCAGAATATCTACACCTGTGTGTACCACAGCTACAGAGACAGGGGAATCTTATGTTCCTGCTAACTGCTCTCGTTATTTAACTTTCTGACATTTGCCGCCTCCCCCGTGCCCCAACACACACACACGCAGTATAAAGTGGTAATTTCTTGTTTTAAATTGAACTTTTGAATGATTTGAATTTGGGCATTTTTTTGTATCATGAGTTATTTTGGTGTCCCTTTATGTGAAAATCCTTTTCCTAGGCTTTGGCTACTTTTCTAATTTGTCCCTTTTTTTGGTTATCAAATTCCAGGCCATTGTCTATTCCATTGTCACTTTTGGGTATTGGAAATATCTTCCCATTCTGTAGCCTGTCTGTGGAACGTAAATCTTGATTTTTATGTAATCAGATTTTTCTCGTTATGGTTATGTTCTTGGAATTTTATTTAAGAAATCCTTTTCTGTCCTGAGACCACAAAAATGTCCCCACCATTTTCTTCTGTTTCATAGTTTTGCCTTTTATGTTTAACCCTTTAAGGTATCTGTAGTTCATTTTATATGGTGTGAAATAGTTCTTATTTATTCAACACATATTGGTGGAGTGCCTGCTGAATATCTACACCTGTGTGTACCACACAGTACCACTCTTCAGAGTAGTTTGTATGTATCTGTGAACACATATTCCTGCCCTGTGAAGCTTATGTTGTCCTTCAAGGTGGATCCCTACTGGGTTTCCACCTGTTTTCTTTAGCACTCAGGATGAATTCCACAATTTTACGCATAGCACCAGTTGAGGAATAGGCTTTATTGGAGAAAGGGAAGGCTTATTAGGCCAGCATCAGCAAGAAAAAAGAAAACCAGAGGGTCTTCATTTTTTCATCATCCCTAAAAGAAGCCTGCTGGAACCTGTGCAGTCTGTTAGATAGGCGTGTGAACGGAGCCTGCGCAGTCTGCCCCATGTGCATGCATCCATCCCAGTGGAGAACCTTACCCTTTTATTGTTTGTCCTTTAAGGGCAAGCCTGAGAGCAACGTTAATTATGTGGGAAAAATTAGATCATTTTGTATCAGGCAGTCTAGATTTGGATGCTAGCTATTTGTCAAAAAACCAGCTACCCCATAGTTGGAGATACTGAGAACTGAGGAGAGTTATAGCCCTTTCGAAAGTGGAAAGGGAGACAGTTTCTTAATGTGAGTGTGACAAAGTATGCAAATTTAGTGGCTTAAAAATACCACCAGTTTATTATCTTACAGTTTTGGAGTCAAATATGAAGTAGATCTCTGGGCTAAAATGAGGTATTGCCAGTCCTGTTTTTCTAAAGCCTTCCAAGGAGAATCTGTTCCTCGTCTAGCTTTCAGGAGCTACCTGCATTCCTTGGCTCATAGCTCCTTTCCTCCATCTTCAAAGCCAGTCGCAGCTAACCAGCCAGTCTTCACATTGAATCACTCTGACCCTCTCTTCCAATTTCCTCTTCTACTTTTATGGACCTTCTACTTGTATTTATTTATTTTAAGAGCCAGGGTCTCGCTGTTGCCCAGGAGGGAGTGCAGTGGCGCGATCATCATTGACTGCAGCCTCAACTCTTGGTCTCAAACGATCTTCCCAATTCAGCCTCCCGAATAGCTAGGACTGCAGGTGCACACCACCATGCCTGGCTAATTTTAAAATATAAGAGACAGGTTCTTTTTATGTTGCCCAGGCTGGTCTTGAACTCATGGGTTCAAACATCCTCTCTCCTCGATCTCCCAAAGTGTTGGGATTACAGGTATGAGGCACCATATCTGGCCCTAGCTGCGTTTTAAAAACGATCACACTCTGGCTGTTTTATTGGCTAAGAATTGACTGTGGGGGGACAAGAGTGAACACAGGGACCTCCTTTAGGAAATTGTTGCAGTACTCCAGGTAAGGGGTGGTGTTGGCTGTGGTACTGATATACGCAATACAGAACCTATATTTGAACAACCATGGTTCATCCGCATCTGGAATGATACCTGCTTAGGTTGATACACCAAAACTGTGACATGGAGTCACAGGTGGTTTAGCGTCACTTCTGAATGGTGTTTGTATGAGATAGGGCTCAAAATAAGGTTGCTCTATGCAAAACATTTGAATGCAGTGCCTGATGCTCAGTGAGTAATAGTTATTAATACAAATGAATATTTAAATTCTTCATTTCGTCAAATCTTGTAAGTGGGAACACAACTGTTTTGTAAATGTCGGAATACCAAATTTAGTAGAGCATTCATTATAAAGGTACGCCTCTTTTTAGATGTGCCATACACTTTAACCTCTCAGAAGGTGCTGTGGACTGAAATTACATATGGAGTCCAAAGACAAATTTATTGACCTACAAGGGGGTAGTTAATAACAGAACCTGGTATTTAACAGTAGTAACACCTCAGAAATGTCCACAAAGAAATAGCTATGTATATATAGCTATTTGTGCATTACTTACCATTTTTAAAATTCTAATGTTTTTGTATCAGTGGTTTTAAGCAATAGATAAAAATTTTACATGGGATAATTAAAAACTGAAGTAGTGGTTTGTTTAAAATAAAACCACATCTGAAAAAAATCATTAAAAATTTTCTACTGTGTGTAATCAGGGAAATAATATGCATATCTATACTTTATTACTTTGTTTTGCTGTTTTATAATATTGCATTTATAAGAGACATCATTTGTATCAAATCCTAGCTGATTAATTTGCTTGTCATTGTATCAGTGTGATACTTTGCAGTAAATTATGCTACTAAGGTACAACTTTTAGCTGAATAAACTTAATAGTTCATCTCCATGTTAAGCTTCAGGTTTGAATCTTTTATTGAGACTGAGTTGCTTTAATATAGTTAACAGACCCTTAACTTAATTTTGAGGTAACTTACTGATCGCAATTGGTCCCAAAAATATCCCAGTAAATACAGTAGATTGATGAAGTTGTCATGTCAGGTTAATAAACACCAGTTTTTAAAAAAATTAATTTGTAAATGTTATTTGTGGATTTTCTTTATTTTATTTTTCCAACAGGGTCTCACTTTGATCGCCCATGCTGGAGTGCAGTGGTGCGATCATGGCTCACTGCAGCCGCAGCCTCCTGGGCTCAGGTGATCCTCCCATCTCAGCCTCCCAAGTATTAACAGCTGGGACTACAGGTGCGTGCCACCACGCCCTGCTAATTTTTGTATTTTTAGTAGAGACAGGATTTCGCCAAGTTACCCAGGCTGATTTCAAACTCCTGGGCTCAAGCAATCTGCCTGCCTTGGCCTCCCAAAGTGCTGGGGTTAGAGACATGAGCCACCACGCCCAGCTGATTTTCTTCTATAAGTAAAGACTACTTCCCCCTCTTCTGCTTGCCCTTTGCCTTTTATTTGAATTGGGTCTCTACTTCTTGTGTGTCGTTTCTGTTTATGTAGATAATTTTAAAGTATCTTAAAAAGTCACTCTTGCAGGACCGATCTTTTGAAATACTTCAGCCATGACTAAAAGAGAAGCAGAGGAGCTGATAGAAATTGAGATTGATGGAACAGAGAAACCAGAGTGCACAGAAGAAAGGTAGGTGTTTCTGAATTTTATCATTTTTTTTCCAAAATACCAATATACCTAATTAAAACCAGGAAACAAGTCTTTTTTTAAAAACTGTTCTCAGCATTTTAGGGGATAATGTATTGTTTTATTTCCTCTGACTTAGTGTGCTTGTAGCTGAGACGGAAAGACAGTTTTAAACTAATGATGGTAAAAGGGTGGACGAAATCAAAAGCAATTGATTTCAATAGTTTTCTCCTTTGGGACATTTAATTCTTTACTCTTTTCCTCAGCACTGGTTGCTTTAATTTCAGAAATAGTTTAATTCAACCTGAACTAATTTAACAGATATTTATCAGTAACTGTTGTAAACAACTAATTGACAAGAATATGTGAATAAATAAGATACTAATCTGCCCTTATAAAGGCCACATTGTATTTGAGGAGACATACAGGTATATGAGTAATTATGTGACCAGTACTAAGCATAAAGTGTAGTGAAAAGCGTTAATTCTTGGAATAATAATGGAATCATACTTATTTTAAAGGAGGACAGTAGTAGTGAGTTCAGAATCCAAGGAGAGAACATGAGTAGAAACAGACATTTGGGCGTCAACAAGAAGATTGAGGAAAGTAGTAGTTAGTGGTCCCTATTTTACTCTGTGGAGTAGGAGGTGAGATAATAAACTGACAGTAAAAGGAATTGAAAAGTAATAGAGAATCTCCGTGGAGTAACAGGTTTAGAAATCTCTGCAGTGCAACTGGACAAGATAATTAAGGTTAAGGAGGATACCGAGTGTTGAGAGTACAGTTGAGATTTAAAACCTTAAATTTTTAATAGAGCTTTTCAACTTGTTTATCCCAGTTTTTCCAGCATAAGAAAGAGGGAATGCATGCTTCTGTGGAATTTCATGTATAGATATTTGTGTAACAAATTACCCCAAAATTCAGAAACTAAGAATGCCCAACATTCGGCCAGATGCAGTGGCTCATGCCTATAATCCCAACGCTTTGGGAGGCTGAGGTGGACAGATCACTTGAGCCCAGGAGTTCAAGACCAGCCTGGGCAGCATGGCAAAACCCTATCTCTATAAAACATACAAAAAAAAAATTAGCCTGGCCTGGTGACATGTGCCTAAGTCCCAGCTACTCTGGAGGCTGAGGTGGGAGGATTGCTTGAGCCCAGGAGTTTAAGGCTGCAGTGAGCCATGATTGTGCCACCACATTCCAGCTTTAGTGACAGGACAAGATGCTGTCTCAAAAAAAAAAAAAAAAAAAAGCCCAACATTTTTTATTGCACATTGTTTCTCGGAGGAACCTGGGAGCAACTTACCTGGGTGGATCTGCCTCGGGGGTGTTTCATGAGTTTGCAATGAAGCTGTCAGCCCGGGCTGCAGTCTGCTAAAGACTGGACTAGGGCTAGGGTGTCTGCATCCAAAGTCATGCTTGAGACTCTTAGCAGGATGCCGCAGTTCCTCATCACATGACTCTCTCTAGGGCTGCTCATGGGATGGCAGCTGGCTTCCCTTAAAGCAAATGGTCTGAGAGACATAGAATGGCAAGGTGGAAAGCCCCAGTGTCTTTAAGTAACCTAAGAAGTGACATATCACTTTATCTTAGTCTTCTGGTCACACGGTCCAACCCTGGTACAGTGTGGGACGGAACTTTGAAACGGCATGCATTTAAGAATCGTTAGGTGCCCTCTTTGAGCCTAGCATGCATATATTTATGTTTATACATGCATGCACACAGATGGTCCACAAAGTCTGAAGTATGTACTATCCGACCTTTTGTGGGTAGTCTAGGTTAGGCGACAGATCGGTAATTAATATGTATGACCTATGTGAAGGAGGCAGTGATTGTCATTTACCTAATGTAGATTTTTGCTGTACAGGAATTTAGGTCCAGTTTTATGAGATCATCTACTTTTTTTTTTTAAGAGAAATTGGTACTTTAGATGTTTGTATGAAGTCTTTAATGATATCAAGGTTTTAATGATAGTAATAAAAACTTTTAAAAAATGTTTAATGTTCAGCTAATATAAAATAGTTCTTTAAAAATTTGTTTTAAAGTGACATCTGAATTTTAAGAATAATTGTTACAAAAAAAGAAAAAGCTGGCCTGGCTCATACTTGTAATCCCAGCACTTTGGGACGCCAAGGCAGGTGGATCACAAGGTCAAGAGATCGAGACCATCCTGGCTAACATGATGAAACCCCATCTCTACTAAAAATACAAAAATTAGCTGAGCATGGTGGCACACGCTTATAGTCCCAGCTACTCGGGAGGCTGAGGCAGGAGAATTGCTTGAATCCAGGAGGTGGAGGTTGTAGTGAGCTGAGATTGCGCCACTGCACCCCAGCCTGGCGACAGAGCAAGACTCCATCTCAAAAAAAAAAAAAAAAAAAAAAAAAAAAAAAAA